GTGAAAGCATAACAACGTATAATAATAGGGTATATATTAGTGGAATCAAACATAATAAAATATGAAATGACTATTATGGTGTCGTAATAGATATTTTAAAATTAGAATAACCATGTCAAGAAAAAAAGAAGTTAATTTTATGTTACTATGATTGATTTGACTTTTTAAACCACAAGATAAGGATATACTTAAATAATTAATATAGGATTGTAGAAGTACAAAAAATGAGAAAATATGAAATATTAATCTTTTGTTTTAATTAGTTGCAACTAAGGTTTACTATTCAAATTATCTTGGATGGCAAAAGGATAATGTTAAGTGGTTAATAGTTGCGATGACAAAGCTAATAGGGGTTATTAGTGATATACAAAGTTTATAAATTAGTTTCCAAGTTAATTAATCATAGAAGATGACATTTGTATCACTTACAATATGATGAAGTTGAAGTGAACAAGTTATCTTTTCTATAATATAAAAGATTTCATAGATGATAAAAAGGTAGAGACAGATTTCAATTGATTTGACCTACCGAATACGGATACACCTTATTTGTCTTAGAGTGTTAACACATGCCACAAAAAATGCAAAGATAGTAACTGATGGAGACAAAGTTTGCAGCATTCGAAGACTCTCTAAAAATTTTAACGGTGGAATTTTGACTGTCTCTATTATGGGAAATGAGTAAGATGTTGGATAAATATTTTTTTTTATGGATTTTAATAGTAGATGCAGTGGTAGTGGCCTTCTTTTGGAGGGAGAGGTATGTCACTCGTGGGTGACAATGTAGATGAGCATCGAGTGGTTAAGAAGGTCGAATTGCCCTTGTTTGATGGTGATGATCTTATGAGATGGATAACTAGAGCTGGAACTTACTTTGATGTTCAAAAAACATCCGATGAAGTTAAGGTGATATTGGCAAAGTTGAGCACGGATGGTTACACAATCCACTGTTTTTATTTGTTGAAAGCGATAGAAGATAACCTCACTTAGCCTAAATTAAAACAAGAGTTATTTGACTTACGACAAACAAGGGGTCTTGAGGAGTACATTACAGAGTTCAAGCTTATTTCATCTCAGGTTGGTCGATTTCCTAAAGAACAAATACATAGGTTACTTCATGGGTGGACTTGGTTTGAGTTACGCGTAGAATTTGCATATTCTACCAACGCATAAGGTTGCATATGATGAAGCTAGCTTGCGATTTGGAGGTAGAGATGACGGGGTTTGATGGTTGAGGGAGTTTCAATTTATGTCAACAGGGTCTAAATACTACCCTTGTTTTGGCACTTCCAAATTTTTCTCAACACTTCCAGACTAAGTGTGTTGCTTCAAGAAAGGGGGTGGGAGCAGTGTTGACGCAAGGAGGCAGGCCAATTGCGCTTTTAGTAAGTCTTTGACTAATAGTAGCTTGTCCAAATCAATATATGAAAATAGGTTAATGGCTCGTGTGTTAATGATAGAACATTGGAGACACTATCTTATAGCAAGGAGTTTTGTGGTTTTCACATACTAGAAAAATCTTAAATACTTGTTACAACAAAGGGTGGCAAGCTGTGATCAATAGTGTTGGGTCTTAAAGTGCTTTGTCTACTAATTTGAGGTGATTTATAAATTGGAAACGAAAAATACCACGGTATAATCTTTGTGCAAAATTCATGAGGAGGGATATTTTAAGATGTTGGTTTCTTTGTTTATTTAGGACCAAGGGAAGGAGATACAACAAGAAGTTACAACTCATTTAGCTTTAAAACAAATCATTAATGTCTTGCAAGCTTTCAGCAATGTATGACAACACATCTTAGCTTCAATCAATGTTAAACTTAGCATTTCTAAAAATTTAAACCTCAATCATTGTGGCATTGTCAATATTTTGAGAAAATATCTTCAATTGTGTGATCTAAGTACATACATACACTACGCCAGAATGGAGATCTGAGAGCGGTTCTATTTTAAATTAGAGTGTTTAGAACTGCTCTAAAATCTTGCGCTATCTTATGTGTTATATTTAAGAAAGCAGTTAAACAACCGCTCTCCAAAGTATAGGTGTAATATCAGAGAGGGGTTCCACTTGGAATCACTCTCCAAAGTATAAATGTAGACCGCAAATCTTAAACTTAAAATTAGTTTCGTTTTGAGTTTTCTGCTGCAAAGTAAAAATTTATTATTACGTTTAAATCAAAATTTATAATTGATTTCTTTGTGAGTTTTTTTTATTTTTATCACAAATCAAAATTGAATCTTGAATTTATACATTTGTTGTTAACCAAATAGTCCACATCTGCATGAACCAAACAGAAAAAAAAAATTAGTAGGATGATTTTTAATGTTAATAGAGAGAAAAAAAAGAAAGAGAGAATGAAGAAATACCTACAGATGTGAAAAAAAAACTAATTTGTTAGTGCAGAAAATATGAAGAGAATAGGCTAACAAAGAATGAAGAGGTACCTACAGATATGAAAAAACTAATTGTTAGTGCAAAGAAGATGAAGAGAGCAGGCTATCAGAGAATGAAGAGGTACATACAGATGTGAAAAAAAATTTATTTGTTAGTGAGAGAAGACGAAGAGAGCAGGCTAATAGAGAAGATTAAGAAAACATAAGAAAGCAGAGAAAATAAATAGAACTTACAGTGAAAGAGACCAACTTTGTTAGCTAAGAAGAAGAAATGCGTTGAGCGTGTTTAATTTATAAACGACTTTAATGACTTTAGAAAATGGTTCTTTATTAACCACTTTCCAAAAATGATTTTAGAGAGTGGTTCTTTATTAAGCGCTCTCTAATATGTGACTTTAGAGAGTAGTTAATAGAGAACCGCTCTCAGAAGTATAAATCTAAGAGCGGTTAATAGAGAACTATTCTCTAAATATATTGTTACAAAGCGATTTTTACTAATCGCTGTCTAAGTTAGTACTCCAAACACTCATTTCTAGCGTAGTGATACCTTGTTTTAGTATTTTAGAGGTTGTTTGCGATGTGTAGTGGCTCCAAAAACATAGAAGGTAAGAAAAATCATAGAGCAGAATCAAAATTAAGTGCTCCCTATAACTAAGTACTCTTCTGAATAAGTGTAAAGTACTTCTTAAGGGCAAACACTTTCTTCCCTAACATAAAAATCAAAAATAAAAAGTTAGTGATAATATTCATATTCATTCTTTAACATGATAGTATTTTTAATGTAATATTTTTATTTTACCTTTTAATAAAATTTTATCTTTAAATAATAGGACATCAAATAAACTAAAAAATATAAAATTATATGAATATTTACTTTTTGTCCATAAAATAAAAGCATAATTTACATAAGTTTGTAATTTATTTTAGACTAAATTAGTAGATTAGTCCCTTAACTCTTGAGTATGTTTTAATTTCTCTCTTTAATATTTTTTTTCCTTTCATTTTAGTCTTTTAATTTAGAAGAGTGTTTCAAATAGGTCCTTTTGTAAAACCAGTTAACTCTATTAAAAAATTATTGTTCATTTTCTTGATCATTACAAAGTATAATGAAATCACAATATATTTTGATCAACTTTCTAATTGTCTCTTTTTTTTTTTTTCCACCTTTTCTTTATCTTCTTCTTTGTCATCTACTTCTCAAAATCTAATCACCCCAACGACTTCAACACTAACAGCAATGCCACTTTGAGACATAGCAAAGACATCCTCAACATGCAAAATGAACCCATCAACAAATTCTCCTAAAATCAAATTGATCACTTTTATGGGTACATTAACCCTTCCTATACAAAATTAGAATTTTAAATTTTATCAATTGGGACACCGATTTATTATAATAAAAAGTGTATTAATGTAATGAATAAAGGAATTGAGAAGATAAACATATCTTGTTTGAGCATTTTGGGAGGTTCCAGATAGGAGATGTAAACATGCTCCAAGAAATTGAATGTGTGGGAATTTTGCGGTGGATAACCTACTGCTCATCCTACACTTGCAAACATTTCATTACCTCTTTGTGCCTGACATAATTGATGAACTCTAGAACCAACTGAAAAATTTATTAGAAAAAAAAATTGAAGTTTAAGGAAAAAGGAGTATGGATGAAGGGTAAGAGGAGGAACATAAAACAATAACATTTTTGTTGGAGTTCGAAAGGGGGAAAAAAATGGGTCATGGAGGCATTAATGAGTGGTAAGAGAAGGAAGAAAATGAAAAAAAGAAGAAGAAAAATAATAGAAAAGTTAATCACAAGTATACATTGTTTTTGCCAAAATTCATAAGAATGAATAATAATTTTTTTTTTATCGAAATTAACGTTTTTTAAAAAAATGACTTATTTGAAAAACTTTTTAAAAACTTTTGTAAGTTATGGAACCAAAATAAAAAAAGAAATAGTTAGAAGAAAAAAATTAAAGCAAAGTAAAAAATTAAGGGACCGATTTACTAATTTAGCATTTATTTTATGTAATTTTACTTTTTCCAAACATTTAATTTAATAAATTAACTTACTAGTTTCAAGTAAAAATTATGATTTTTCATACATTATCATTCTAAATATAAAACGAAAAATTAAGGTTTTATTTAATATAAGATGCATTTTAAATATTAATTAATTTAGTCTACAGAGCTTGTATGAACGTTTCATAAAAAAAAAAAGAGCTTGTATGTACATGATTTGACAAAACAGTATTGTTAGGATCCAGTTTAAATAATTATACAAAATCGCGAAACATCAATTATCAAAAACTTTTAAATATTAGAACGTTTTTATATTTTTAGAGCATTCAAAGCATAATCTTCTCAACTAGATAATGTTAATTTAGAAGATGATTATTATGAAAAAATAACAAAAAACTCTTTCAGAAAACCTATATTAGAAGAATTTAACCCTCGAATAAAATAACATAAACATGTACTTATTCAAAGAAAAGAAAAAGGATGTTTAAAAGAGCATGTACAATTTTGAAGCAGTTTATTAAAGTTGAATATTGATGTTTGAAAGGTCAGTTAGGTGAATAACTAGCCACGCACACTCCCACCAAACTACATTTATCACTGTTGAAAACCCAGTTGCGCCACCGGGTGACCGTGTCTTACTCTCTCAGAGGGTTCTGTTCATCCATGCGTCTCTCTCTCTCTAACACAACTACCTCCTACCTATCTACCCTCCACACTCTTTCAATGCTTGCCTCCCTTATTTATAACTCACCTTCACCCCTTTTCAACCTACAGTTACATCTTAAGACCTTAATTTGAAAACGTCCCTGTTCTGTTTTTCGTTTTTCACTTTTGTTTTTACATAATCACAAACTATCTCTATCTATTGGAGAAATATGGCACCCTCTTTCGATCAAAGTGCTAACACAGTTTGCGTTATGGACGCTTCGGGCCAATTAGGAACCAGTCTTGTCCAGCGACTACTTCAAAGGGGATACACCGTCCATGCCTCTGCTCAATCCCATGGTAATTGCGAATATTTAACTCATGATTTTTTGCATAGCATTTTAATTGATATTGTTCTGTTAATTTTATTGTGATTGTTTTTGCTTTGGGCTCAGGAATAGAGCAATTCAATGGGATTTCTGCTGACCCCAATAAACTCAAGATTTTTCGTTCCGACCCTTTTGATTACCATAGCATAACGGATGCTCTTAGAGGTTGCTCTGGTTTGTTCTATACATTTGAACCACCTCAAGACCAACCCAACTATGATGTAAGCCACCCTTTCTTTGCTATTAGCTTTTCTTTTTCTAATGGTGCAACAGAAGATTGAGACTAAGCGTTTATTCGATTCCTCACGCTTATAAATTAAGGATTTTATAACTTATTTTCTGTCGACAAGTTAGTAATATTGTTTGGGTAACAAAATAAAAGAAGCTTGGAAATTTTATAATATTTAGCTTATTAAAAATTAGTTACTAATATTTTCTTCTTATTCTTATTTTTATCCTTTTACAAAATTCGAATTCCTAACTTACATATTCTTTCTAATAATTTGATAAATTTTAACTAGTTGCGCAATTAAATTTAGTTAACAATTATAATTCAATTAGTTAATTATAAAGTATAAACTTTCAACTTAAAATTAAAAGATTTTAATTAGTTTATCAACAACTACGAGTTACTGAGTTAGTTTTATGAACTTAAGTATACTGTGTGATTTATTTACATCACATTTCAAGCTGTTTTTTTTTTTTTTATAATCTTTAAAATAATTAGTTCCACAAATTATACAATAACTAAACTTGTGGAAAATTCAATTCATATATTATATTATGGGGAAATAGGGGGACTATTGGTGTAAATTCAATTCATAATAAACAAACGGTATAATTCAGTTAGATTTTGAAACATCAATTTGGAAAGCTGCGTCACTAAAGTGTTTCTCTAGGAGTTAATGCATGCACTTTTTGTGGGGTGGAGATGGAGATCTCGGTGAAATATTAAAGTTTGAATATCGTAGTCCTTTTAAGTAATTTGGTTGATCGGTGGATGCGGTAGGAAATTTGTCTTAGTTATTTCCCTACTTGTCCAGCTCATTTTTCTGGTTACCCCAATTTGTTTATTTCTTCACTTTGATTTGAGTGGGTTTTTCCCACATCTTCTCTGTACTTTTTTCCGATCCTTTTCTTTAGTTTTGGTATTACACGAAAACCAGGATCGTGATAGCGGAGCAACGTTGATCCTTTTCTAGCATGTTGTTTAATCCTTCCCAGTCGAATAATATCTAATATATTTGTCATTGTCATTCACTTGTGTTGTCCGTACCACACAGGGATTTGTGTGTGATGGACATGCATCTAACAATTCAAATTACTTAAGTATTAAACCGAAGCTAGAAGTTTTAAATTTTATTGAAGTGTTTTGATTCGTTTTGTGATTGCTAAAAGAGTGTATGCATGCGACGTAATTATTTTAGAAAAAACAAATTTTTAATATTTTGTTTGGATATTATTTTTAATCAACGTTTTTTTATAATTTGTGGGAGTGGCATTAAACTATTTTTATTTGTTTAAACATCACAACATAATTTTAAACATACCTTTTAAATATATTCTTTCTATGTTAGGTTAAATTTATACAAATTTCACCAACAATAAATAATTTTCGTAAATTTCATGTTTATTGTTATTTTCCTTTTTCCATGTAGTTTGTCCCATATATTTATTGCAAGCATTGTTAGACTGGAATTTCTGAGCAAAACCAAAATTTTGGTGAAGAAAAGTTATTGCTTGGTTACTTATTAGGTCATTGCGAATGCTATTTATCAAAGTCTGACCAAAATTAGTACAAGAATTAATTATTTGTTGATTGAATATAACAAGTGTCCACGACCAAGTAACAAAGTCAAAAAATGACTTGATATTTATTGGTGTATAGGAATACATCGCAGACGTAGAAGTCAGAGCTGCGCACAATGTGCTTGAAGCTTGTGCTCAAACAGAAACTATAGATAAAGTGGTTTTCACTTCCTCCGCAACTGCTGTTGTTTGGAGAGAGGATCGCAAGTCCATGGAATCGGACTTAGATGAAAGACATTGGAGTGATGCAAATTTGTGTCGTAAGTTCAAGGTATAACAACATCGCCCCATCATTATTTTATGCAGTTTCGGTTCTTACAAAATTCTGGTGCTGTCCTGCAAGTATTTTTAGTGATATTTTTCAATTTAAATTACAATTTTATCTTTGTTGACATTAAAAACAAGTTGTCTTTCAAAATATTGATAATAATATCAAAAATGTTCAGTCCTCAGTGTTAAAAAAATTATGTTAAGATGCTATTTATCGGTAAGAAAAAAGAATCATTAAATTGTTGGTACAAGAAAATTTGAAATGATTGTAAAGCGTGACTATTTAGACTTGGTGACAAATGAAAAGTGAAAGTGAATAAATGTTGGAAGTGTACAAAAAGCAGTTATGGCACGGGATGTCAAAGACGCTGGCGGAGAGGACAGCGTGGGCCCTAGCAATGGACAGGGGAGTGACCATGGTGTCCATCAACGCAGGGTTATTGATGGGTCACGATGATCTCTTCTGCGTCAAGAACCCGTACCTCAGAGGAGCTGCGGAAATGTACGAAGATGGTGTCTTAGTTACCGTAGATTTAGGAATCTTAGTGGACACCCACATTTGTGTCTACGAAGATGTCTCCTCCTACGGTCGTTACTTGTGCTTCAACCACGTCATCAACACCCACGACGACGCCGTTCGCCTCGCCCGCAAGTCCCTGCCCACACCTCCTTCCATGCCTCTAAGGTCGGTTTTCCTCTCTAGTCATGCTTAAACATTCATGTGATATTTTTAATCCTTCAAGACAAACATGAAAGATACTGTATTTTTTTAAACTAAATTTTGGATTATTCCAATTATTCATTATAAAAATTAATGATTCATAAATGTTTGAAAACTTGTCCTGAAAATAATTTAAAATGTAGCAATATTTAGCTGATACCTATGAGTTGTGAAACTGAAAATGTGTTTATCCCTTGCAGCTGTGACCAAGGGAAGTCTCTTATCCAGCAAAGAATAAGCAACAAGAAATTGAACAAACTAATGGTGAATTTTGCGGGTTGAGTGCGATGGTCAATTGGTCTCCATATGAAAGGGAAGTAAGGGAACCGCGACATGTCATTTGGTCTTCCGCGCGCGGCGAAACTATTGTGGTGTTAGCTGTATAGTCGCGACATGTAACAATTACTAAAATATATTTTATTAAAATTAAAGAACTATTTTTGTCCCTTATTAAATATTAGCAACTCAAAATAATATGAAACCAGACAAAAGATATTATCATGTGCATTTCTTAGATTCTCTTGGTGATAAATATGTTTTGGCCAAAAAATATCTTCCCTTCACGACTTAAGAATGTATATTATCTAAAGAAAATGTTGTTAGTATGATTGATTTATATCTTCCTAACACGATTCTACATCCTTAATTTAAGTTAATTTTGTGCTGGAGATCAATTTAGATACAAAATAAGGTGGGTATTTAAATATTACAGACTATGTTGTGATCTATAGTGTTTTGTTATTTACTTTTTTTTTATGAGTTATGGTTTTTGACTTATTTTGTTAAGGATAAAATCAATGATCCCTCTACCAGTGCTCACTCACTCTTAACAATTATGGTTGAAGAGGAACAAAGAAGATAAGAATTCTATTCATGAGAATCAATAACATTCAGAGGGTCTTATATAACCTATACTCACACACGTTTTGATCCTTTCCTACTCTTATCTAATTACAACTCATAATTATTATAATGGTTTTCTAATTTTGACCTCTAAAATACTTTTTTTTTTTTTACATATCAGCCCTCCTATTTTTATCTATTACAATTGTCCCTCCCTTCTACATTGGACTTGACTTCAAGACCATCTTTTAGCAACTCCGATCAAAGTTTGGGAATTGAATTTGAATGTCATGTAGCTCTCTCCATACAACATCCTCTGGATTGGTCTCCTTCTATTGAATTAGAACCTCAGTCATAGCTCTATTATTTTTCTTTTTAATTCTTCTATCTAATACTACTAGAGGTCATGGCAGGAACTCTCCTTCATTCAGTAGGGATAATTGAGCAGATACGGGTTTGTTGTCATGATATTTCTTCAACAAGGATACGTAGAAGATATTATGAATCTTTGTTCCTATTGGTAGTTCTAATCTGTAGGCTACATTCCCAATTCTCTCTAACACTTTATGAGGACCATAATACATTGCTGCTAATTTGTGAAAAGACTCATTGGCCAATGTGTGCTACTTGTAACGTTGGATTTTCAAATACACCATGTCTCCACATTGATACTCTCCATCCACTCTCTTTTGATCAGCATACCACTTCATTCTTGTTTGAGCTTTGATTAAATTTGCTTGCAGTAGTTGAGATATTTCTTCCCTGGTTCTTACTGTGTAGTTCACTGTAGTCATGATCATGGTTGGGTGAAGGTGGGTACCCATATAAGGCTTCAAATGGGGTTAACTTAGTGGCTATATGAAACTTGGTATTATACCATAATTCTGCCAAAGACAAGTAATTAGTCCATTTCTTAGGCATTTCCCTAGAAACACATATCATATATACTTCTATAGACTTGTTCAAGGCCTCAATTTAGCCATAAGTTTGAGGATGAAATGCAGTAGACCGCAATAGCTTTACCCCTATGTTTTTGCATAAGTTCTGACCAAAACTCACTCATGAATATTGAGTCCCTATCTAAGATGATCTCTGTTGGCCATCCATGCAAGTTTACCACATTGTCCATAGAGACTTGTGCCACTTTTACAGCTCCAAATGGATAAGTCAAAGGTAGAAAATGAGCATACTTAGTTAATCTATCTATTACCACAAAAATAATAGTCATAAAGTTGGATATAGATTTCCATGCTCAAGCAGGGATTGATAAAGGTTGTAGAAGACCAGCAGGTAACCGCAGTAAGGGCTTATTCTGTTGGCAAGTGTTGCATTCTTGTACCCATTGTTTTACCACTTTTTGCATGTCTTTCCAATGAAATTGTTCTTTGATTCTCCTGTAAGTTAGCTCATAACCTGAATGGCCACCAATGGCTGAGTTGTGAAAGTCTTGTAGGATTTTAGTCTTCAAACCTAAATCATTTCCTACCACGAGCTTGCCTTTCCTCTTAAGGAATTCTCCATCATAGGTGTAGTGCTTGCAAGGCTATTGTGTCATTCTAATTTTGTCCACTACCTTCTGTAATCTACGATCTACCTCCTTTTGCATTTCTTCAAGTTTAGTGTTAGAGAGTTGTCTTGTAGGATTTGTAGAGTGGTTTGCAAGCATTTTAGATGATCTTCCCAGGTCTTAGTGTAGACTAGGATATTATCACAAAATACTAGAATGACATTTCTTAAATGCTTCCTGAAGATATCATTCAATAAGTTCTGAAAAGTTGCAAGAGCATTGCTGAGGCCAAAGGGTAGAACCACCCATTCATAAAGTCCACTGTGTTCTTAAGGCTGTTTTGTAGATATCCTCCTAAGCCATCCTCACTTGATTGTAGCCACTCCTTAGATCCAACTTAGAAAAGTAGCTGGCACCATGTAATTTATCCAAGAGGTCTTCAATTAAGGGTATTGGAAATTTATTGTTGATAGTGAGAGCATTAAGTTTTCTGAAGTCTGTGCAGCATCTCCAAGAACCATTTTTCTTCTTAACCAAGACTAGAGGTGATGCATATATAGCAACTTGAACTTTCTTTGATAAAGCCAGTGGACAGCAAAGCTTTGACTTGCCTCTCAATTTCTGTTTTTTTGGTTATATGGGTACCTATATGGTTTTAAAGAAATAGGTATATTGCTTGTTATGGTGATTTTATGGTCATATCTTCTTTTTGGAGGCAATTGGGTTGGTTCTTGGAATAAATTATGAAATTGTTGTAGCAAAGTGTCCAATTAAGAGTGCTATGTTGCTGTTAATTCTGGTGCATTTTGATTAGTTATAGCCTAGAAGCAAACAATAGCTTGTATAGCAAGTAACATGGTTTGGACCTGTGCTATTTTCAAATTTTTTGAGACTTGTATGTGGTCATTTTGATGCTGTTCACCCTATAATGTGACTGCTTCTGCTTGATGCTGCAACTTCATGGTCAATTGGGCACAATTCCAAGGAATTTCACCTAGTGTCCTAAACCATTGTATGCCAAGAATTACTCCAAAATGGCTACTAGGCAAAACCAAGAAATCAGCCATGAATGGATGATTATTGAATTTCCAGGTCATTTGAGGACATTTTCTTGTAATCATGAATTGTTTATCTGATGCTACAATTACAATAAAGTCTCCGATGAAATTGATTTTTAATCCTAATAGCTTTATCCATTTTTCACTAATGAAATTGTGTGTACTTCCTGTATCCATCAGGAAGGAAACCTCTTATTTTTTTTATTAGTTCTTTTAATTATAATGTGTTACCACCAGTTACACCTTGTAATGCATGTAAAGAGTTATGAACATTTGAATCTTTGACTAATTTTAGAATTTGTTCCACCAATTCATTGTCTTGTTCTTTTTCTAAATCTAAATTGACACATTCATCAAACTCACCTTGTGCAGAAAAAATGGCATTTAATTTTCTCTAAACTTTACGCTTAAGTCTATGATTCTTATCCCGTTTCTTACCACATAAATGACATATTAAAAATACGCTCACTAACCTCTTTCTTGGAAATTGAGCTTGCAATGGTAAATTTTGAATTTGCAACAGTAGCTGAATATCTAAATTATGTCTTCGAGTTGGTCGATTTGTTCCCATTGAGTTTCTTTATAATTTCTTGAAGCACCTTATCTTGTAAACGTGCTAACCTCATAGTTTCTTGGATTATAGATGGCTGGTGGACAAGAATTGATTTCTCCAACTCCAAACGTAATCTTGAGAGGAAGAAGCTTAATGATATCTCCTCAGAGATCGTCACTCAAGCCACTAGATTATCAAAATTTTCTAGATATTCAATTAAAGAACCTTCTTGTTTCAATCTTGTGAGTTCTGCAACTGGGTCATCAAATGCTCAATCATCAAAACTGTTTCCAGCATCTTGCAAGATCTGAATCCATGTTTTGCTCTAAAAATCTGGTGTTTGAATGTAGTGGCGTTGCCATGAGAATGCCTTGCATACATGGAGAGAAGAAGTAGACGACCTCTTTGGTTTTTTGGTGTGCCTTCGAGCTCGAAGAATTGTTCTGCTTTTGCACGCCATTAACAGAAATTGGTGCCATCAAAAGATGGAAATTGCAGTAGGGTTCTATCAAGAACTAAGGAGGGAGTGTCTGGTGTCTCGTTGTGGATTCCTTCTTTAGCATGATTTTTCGGCTAGCATTCAAAGTTGCTATTGAGGAAATTAATCCATCGATCGATTTCTACAATGCTTCCAAGGTCTTTTGTGTTAATTCTCATGAATCCTCCATTGTTTTCTCTATTGTGTTCACGCGTGTCTCGAGTTCTTTTGTTGTTGTAACGCCCCGAGTTTTGTAAACTATTTGATTATTAATATAAATATGCAAATTGATGTTTGAATGTGCATTTGACTTGTAGTGATGTGTATATGTGTGTAAATACATGTGGATGCGTACATATTTGTATATTATGATTGAAAGATGAATGTGGACTTGTGTTTGGATTGGAAATGTAGGTTAAGTGTGTACTGTAGGGACATTCTCGCTGTAGCGAGAAGGTCCTGAGCGAAGGGTGTGATTCTGTTGCGTTCTCGCTGTAGCGAGAAGGCAATATAGAGAGGGTATTTTCTGGGTGCAATCTCTCTGTAGCGAGAGGGTCTCGTTGTAGCGAGATTCTGGAGAAACTAGAGTGCAATTTCCTCTGATATTTTTGCTGCAGTGAGAAGGGGTCTCGCTCCAGCAAGGTTTGAGTGCCGAAAAATTATGCCCTAATAACTAAATCTTTTAGGGAAAAAGCATCGCCAAGGGATAAACCTCAAGGTAGATAGCTCGATTTTGGTGTCTCGCTGTAGTGAGAGTATCGTGACAAGAAGGGTATTTGAGCAGTTTAGGATTTGAGAAATTCATTTTCCATTCCTCTCTTCGAACTCTCTTTGATTCTCTCAACCTTCAAACCTATTTCATCAATTAAATTGCCTCTAAAGCCGTTTGGGAGCAAGATTAGAGGTTGTAGTTGTGCTTGGGGCGTTTAAAGGTAAGTTTGTGAGTTAGGGTTTTCGATTTTTGTCCATTTCATTCATTTTCTCGATTTCTCATGAAATTTTTCATGTATTTAGGACGAAGCACCGTGTGGAAAACATTTTCTATTGTTAGTTTGAATTGGGTCTTCATTCCGAGGTAAGGGAGACTTTACCCTATCTCGTTG